TTGCAGTCATGACTGAGATGTACTAATCAAAGTTCTGAATCACTGGTCCTGGTATTGTGCTGCCGTGGCCTGCAACGCCAGCATGGCACGAGAGTGCCAGTAGGAGTCCTGGGCTCTCTGCTGCCAACCCGTTTCCCTGGAAATGCACCTGGGGCGGGCAGCAGCGGCAGGAGGCCGTCCAAGAGCACAGTAGTTCCTAGCTTCTGCCTTCCACCTGCCCAGGCCACTGCTGCCATCGGGGGAGTCAATGTGCAGACGGAAGAGTTTTCTTTCTCGGACTCTTTCAGTAACTCTGTCCTTCAACAAGGAAGGAAGAAAGAGGAGACAGGAGGAAAACTGAAAACATTTTGAATCATGACCAGAACTATTTCAGAAATTATTCTGATGATTCCTTCTAGATAAAAAAGAAGCAAGGGAGTCTGGCGGCATGGCCTAGCAGCTAAAGTCCTGGCCTTGAATGCACCGGGATCCCATATGGGCACTGGTTCTAATCCCAGCAGCTCCATTTCCCATCCGGCTCCCTGCTTGTGTCCTGGAAAAGCAGTCGAGCACGGCCCAAAGCCTTGGGACCCTGCATCCATGTGGGAGACCTAGAGGAGATTCCAGGCTCCTGGCTTTGGATCAGTGTAGCACTGGCCGTTGCTGTTGCTTGGGGGTGAATCATTGGACGGAAGATCTTCTTCTCTGTCTCTCCTCCTTTCTGTATATCTACTGTATATCTGACTTTGCAATAAAAATAAATAAATCTTAAAAAAAAAGAGAAAGGAAAGTACAGCAAGGGGTTACAGCAAGCCATCCCACACGGTTTGGTCACTGATTTGAAGCCCTTTGGCCGAGCAAGGCAGTCTGCTGAGAGAAGGCTGTTATTACTACACCGCTCTTGGGACGCTCCAACCCAGGAGGAAAGACAACACTCCTTGCCTGTTAGAGAAACACACATGACCAACTTCATGTCAGAGAGCAGTCAGAAGGGGAAGCGTCTTGTCCTTTCCCCTTTGACATACATTCCACAGCGATCCAGACTGAATACACACACATGTAATCAGAGTTCTCATTTATGACCTCCCGAACAGGGCAGGGGGAGGCACCTGGTTGCTGAGAACACGCACACCTGGTAGGGACGGCCGGTCCTAAGGGAGGCCAGGCCTGAGGGAAGGCTGCACACGGGACACGTCACGGGCTGACACGCCCCACACAGAATGCATGTGACAACAGGTGACAGTGAACGAGCTTTGTGACGACTAGAATTGCTTTCCTGCTTTTGACACTGGATGGCATTTATGCAGGGTGATATCCTAAAGAGAAGGAAGGCAAAGGTGTACAGGACCTCAGTGCAGCCCTTACAACTGCTTGGGAGCCTAAAGTCACTTCAGCAGGGCGAAAGTGAAGACCACCTTTGCACTTGGGTGTTTTAAAATACAGAAAAGCAGTGAACAGTAATGACCTTTCAGTGGATTTCAGTTGACTTCACGGCCAAGTTCAAAGCTTTCTAGAATGACATTCAAAGCCCTTCTTTTAAAAAAAAATTGATTAATTTATTTGAAAGAGTTGCAGAAACACGGAGATGGGAGGGGGGAGAAGGGAGGAAGGAGGGGAAGAAGAGAGAGAAGAGAGAGGGAGAGAAAGAGCTTCCATCTGCTGGCTCATCCCCAGGGGTCACAATGGCTGGGCTGGGCCAGAGCCAGGAGCCAGGAGCTTCGTGTGCGTCTCCTAGGTGGATGGCAGAGGCCAAGCACTCGAGCCATCCTTTGCTGTTTTCCCAGCTATTGGCAAGAAGCTGGATTGGAGAAGCAGGACTAGAACTGGCACCCAGACGGGATGCTATTGTAGACCTTAGGGTTGGGAACACTCCATCACAGCCCGAGGGAACTTCAAAAAATCAAGAAGGATGGAGTAAAAAGATAAATTTATTTTGGTGCAGAAAAAATATGCTTTGATATTCACGTAGTTTTTTCATAGCATGCATTTTCCATGGCCTTTCCTAGGTGTTTCTAGGGGTTCTAGAAAACCCAGGTAGCAGTACTTCAAGGGTGAAGGAAAGAAGTTGGTTGAACCAGGTAACTTGTCATATACATGGTCTAAATCCTACTATGTCACATAGGGATTTCCTAGTGTTACCTTGCTGCACCACAAGCATGCTGAGTTGCCACCCAACGGGCTCAGCTCAGACACGCACCTGCCAGCAAGTTCACAGAGCTGCGGTCTGGGAAGTGGACGGCAGAGGGCGAACAGGAGGCGGGAGAGGTCCCCCTGGGGCAGTAAGCAGGCAAGCTCTGGGGCACCTGCATCTGCTGCAAATGGCTCCAGAGACGAGCAGGCGACCCGAGATGTGGCCGTGGCCTCCGGAGGGCCCAGCCTCACTAGGCCAGAGGGTGCCGGCCTAGTCTTCCCATGTATGAAGCAGCAAAGGAGCATGTTTCAGCAGCACCCACACTAAGTCCTGACACGAGGCCCCCGGCAACGTGGTACCACACTGAGGGTTTTCTTAGAGTGCTGTGTGTACACCTGTAAGGTCAGAAAACTCTGACTCCTGTTAATCCACTTTCCTGGGCTTCTGCTTCTTCATCTGTGCGGCAGGACAAGAAGAGCATGTTTTTGATAGCGAGCTTATGAGGACAAACTGGGATAAGGCATACAAAGGCGGCCGGCGCTGTGAGGTAGTGGGTGAAGCCGCTGCTGGCAACACTGATATCCTGGTTCAAGTCCCGGCTGCTCTACTTCCGACCCAGCTCCACGTGAATGGCTTAGGGAAGCAGCAGAGGACGGCTCAAGTGCTTGGGCCCCCGCACCCACATGGGAGATCTGGATAGAGCTTCTGGCTCCTGTCTCAGCCTGGCCCAGCCCTGGCTGTTGCAGCCATTTGGGAAGAGAACCGGCGGACGAGATCTCACGAGTATGTCCCTTGTCACCATTATTGCTAATTGTATCTTGAGGAAGAAAGCAACCCATGTGTGTTATTATTCAGTTATTCTTACATAACTCATAAGACCCGGAGTCCGTGTCTGAGTCCTATACCCTCCGTACACCGCGGTGATTCAGCTGCCCCGAGTGGGCTGGGGTCCTGGAGCAACGTGGCCCTGTCCACAGTGCTGAATCTTCCCGGCGCTCAGTCCTGCCTGCATCTCCGCAGACCCTCTTCTGAGCACTGACACGCACACTAACGTACACGCAGGAACCAGACAGCATCAGTCTCCGTGGGGGACTCCAGGACCGTCCCCCACTCCCACGGGCCCCCACGTCCAGGCTTCACCTGCTCCTCCTCGTCCGTCGTTAGGACATCGGACTGTCCCTCAAGGACTCGCCCTTGGACCCTGCCGCGCCGGGACTGTGGCTATACTGGTGGACACTAGAGGGCGCTGGAGGCCACCCTCAGGGTAGATGGCAACAAGCTCGCTTTCCCGTAAGGTGTCGCCCACCTACACGCACCTTTCTCCGTGGCCCTTGGTACCCCCATTTCATGCTGGAGACGACGACGGTACTGAGGGATTCCCCCCTTGACTCCAATAAGCATAGGAGGCAGGACTTTTAGACCATCTCACTCCTACCTTCCACCCTTGGTCCCTGAGGGCCAACCAGCAGAGTGAGTCTGACGAGAACCTCTTTCTTGGTCTCTCTCTGATTGGTGATTCTGCCATATTACCGAACCTCCCACTGCAGCCTCTGCCGTTGCTCCTTCCAGAATCGGACAAGACTGCAGCCTGGCTGTCAGCCTGATCTGACCTCTGAGAAATGTTAACCGGACAAGGCAAGTAGGCATAGTCTTGGAGGGGCCCATTGCAGTAGCCTAGTGGTTAAAGTCCTCACCTTGCATATGCTGGGATTCCATATGAGTGCCAATTCTTTTTTTTTTTTTTTTAAGATTTATTTATTCTTATTACAAAGTCAGAGATACAAAGAGGAGGAGAGACAGAGAGGAAGATCTCCCATCCAATGACGTCACTCCCCAAGCGGCCGCAAGGGTTGATGCTGAGCAGACCCGAAACCAGGAGCCTCTTCCAGGTCTCCCACACAGGTGCAGTGTCCCAAGGCTTTGGGCCATCCTTGACTGCTTTCCCAGGCCACAAGCAGGGAGCTGGATGGGAAGTGGGGCCACTAAGATTAGAACTGGCGCGCATATGGGATCCCAGTGCGTGCAAGGCCAGGATTTTAGCCATCAGGCCACCGCGCCGGGCCCAGCCAGCTTCATTTGTAAGAAAGGAAACCACCAGGCCACGAAGACGATGGTTCACACATGTGAAGCCTCGCTTGGCGCCAGCTGAGGCTCATTGCACAAAAGGCAGCCTCCAGCCTGTTCGGCGCTACCCCTCCCCACATGTGAGAAAGCCTGAGTCAGACACGGCAAGGAGGAGGCCGGCTCCTCAGGCCACCGTCTATTTGCTCACATCACCAAGGCAGTTAAAACAAATAACATCTGCAAGGACCTGCTCAGCCTGCCACTGTCTTTTCTGCACCCACACTGCCTCCTGCCCCAACTCCGTGGCTCCTTCCTTGCACGAAGCGCAGTTAATCACCTGAGCGTTCATCGCCTCCACCCGTGTCTTCAGCCTTCGGGCTGCACGCGAGCCCGTGGCCCAAACAGGACCCATTGCAAGGTGGCACACGGAACAATGACACGAGCAAACCAAAATGGCCCCCATCGAAGCGGTTCTAACAAAATCCAAAAATAAACGCAGGCGACTCACCGACACAACGGGCAGGTCCACACGCACTCCGACCTTGCGAGAGGCTGGGTCCAGGGCACGGGCCGCGGTGCTGTGGGGTCTCGGGACCCTGTGCTTCTCCGGGTCCACGGACGGGCCGCGGAGGGCAGTGCTGTGGGGCCTCGGGACCCTGTGCTTCTCCGGGTCCAGGGCACGGGCCGCGGTGCTGTGGGGTCTCGGGACCCTGTGCTTCTCCGGGTCCAGGGCCGCGGAGGGCGGTGCTGTGGGGCCTCGGGACCCTGTGCTTCTCTGGGTCCAGGGACGGGCCGTGGAGGCGGTGCTATGGGGCCTCGGGACCCTGTGCTTCTCTGCGTGGTTTTTTCTTCTTCGTCTTCACTTTCCAGCATCTCCTGGGGTTTCCAGGTACTCTTCGGTGCCTCCTGTCACATAGGGCAAAAAGACAGGAGATCAAAATGCAGTGGAGCTGTTAGTCTTGTCTCTGCCGGCCTGTCTTGGATGGTGAGCCCTCACCGGTCACCCTGGCTTCCGGGATGGAGTGGACCTCTCGGCAGCATTGAGGTCAGAGGCTGTAAGAGTGGCTGTGTAGAGAGTTGTGGGGGCTGGCACTGGGGCGCAGTAGGTTAAGTTGCCTTCTATGTCGCTGGCATCCAATATGGGTGTGGGTTCAAGTCCCAGATGTTCTGCTGCTGACTCAGCTCCCAGCTAATGTGCCGGGAGAGTCCACATGGCAGACCAGAGGGAGTTCCCGGCTTCCGGCTTCAACCTGACAACCTCAGCTGTTACAGTAATTTGGGAAGTGAACCAGCAGATCCAAGATTCATTCTCTCTCCCTTGTGTGTGTGTGTGTGTGTGTGTGTGTGTGTGTGTGTGTGTGTGTCTTTCAAATAAATAAATAGATCTTATTGAGGCAGCCATTTCCTGGTGGAGCTGAGCTATACTGAGAAACAAATGTGAATGCCTGTGTCTCTGGCAGGCCCGGCATGAAGTAGGATACAGAACACGGTTTCCAAAAACATTTGGAAAGATGCTAGAGCTTGTTGGTAACCTGGGGAGAGCAGAGAAAAACACCAGCCCAGGCACAATTCCCCCCCCACCCCAACAGAGTGGCACTACCTAGAACTACATTCAGAGTTAGCACAGAAGGAGAGGGTTGGTGCTATGGCATAGCACGTGAAGCTGCCGCTTGTGGTACCAACAAACTCCTATGAACATTGTTCATCTTGGCCACTCCTCTTCTGATCCAGCCTCCTGCTAATGCGCCTGGGAAGGCAGCAGGAGGTAGCCCAAGTGCTTGGGTCCCTGTATCCACATGGGAGACCTGGAAGAAGCTGCTGGCTCCTGGCTTCAGTCTGGCCTGGCCCTAGCCAGTGCAGCCATTTGGGGAGTGAACCAGTGAATGCAAAAACTCTGTATCTCTGCCTTTTAAATACTTGGCTTTTTAAAAGAGTGGTGCAGGGCACCGATCCACACCCTGCAGGTAAACTGAGGCATGCTGTGGAAAGTCAGTGTACCAGTGTTTCTCCAACACTGACGTCCTGACTTCTGAAACCCACCCAAGGGGCTGAAGAGGTATGCACACGCAACAACGGTGAAAGCATCAGTTATAAACATTTTGAAAACTGGAAACATCCCAACCTTCTACCAGCAGAGGGTGAACAGATAAGCATGGCAGCATCTTTGCCCGATGATGCCAGGCAGGACTGCGCCACATAAAAGCAATGGAAACAGACCTGCAGGAGCGGACACGGAGGCTTTCTAAGATACATTAGGCACAAAAAGCAGGAGACAGAGGCCAGCACTGCAGCACGGTGAGCTTGTACTGCTGGCATCCTGGATGAGCGCCGGTTCAAGTCCCAGCTGCTCCACCTCCCACCCAGCTCCCTGCTAGTTTGCCTGGGAAGGCGGCAGATCATGGCCCACGTTCCTGGGTTCCTGCACTCATTTGGCTCCTGGCTTTGGCCTGGACCAGCCCGGACTGTTGCAGCCATTTGAGGAATGAGTCATTGGAGGGTGATCCCTCCCTCTCCCTCAGCTGGACGTGAGCCCTAGAAAGTGCTGCTCTTGGCAATTAGCTGCGTGTGCACGCACGTGTCAATGAAAACAGAGGGTGTGGGTGTGTTCCAAACTGCACATGGTGGAAGCTTGGGAAAGGATTTTGTGTTTTGCTCTATCTAAATCCAGATTGCTAAACTCTTCACAATAAAAATATTCATGCATTAGGTATATTAAACACATTTTTTTGGAGAGAGAGAGAGACAAAGAACTCCCGCCCACTAATTCGTCCCCCTAAGGCCCCCTACAGGTGGGGCAGGGCCAGGCCAGAGCCTGCCCTCAGGAGCTCCGGCCTGCTCCCTCACGTGGACGGCAGGGACCCCAACACCTGAGTCTTCCTGCTGCCTCCCCATGTGCACCTGCAGCAAGCTGGAGTGGTAAGCCCGGAGCTGAACCAAGGTACTCGGGCCAGGACATCTGAGCAGCTCAGCTCAATGCCCATTCCAGTCATATTTTTAACCTCGTCCACCTCTGAGTCCTCAGTCGTGACGTGTGTTAGCATTCTTCCTCCGGTGAAGTCTTCTCACACTGTGGGTGGGATGGAATGGAATCTGCACGACTCTCTTGCATGGCTGGGAAACGGCAGCGACGGGGCCATCTGGACATTCTGAGCCTTTGACTCACTGGCCAGCCCCGGCCCCACCCCGCTCTGTCCAGAGGGGTCACGTCCCCTGCACTTGGTGGCTGTGGGGGCGTGTTTCTCTCCTTCTGGCAGAGCTCAGGAGTCTTCCTGCTCCTGCTGACCTGTGCGAGCAGACAGCACCGAGCTCTCGCTTTCCAGATGAAGATGCTGAGGTGCAGAGTGGCAAGGGGGCACGGCCAAGGTCGTTAGTGGCAGAGCGAGGCCTCACACCCACTTCCTTCTCAGGTCGAAGCTCATGATCCTTATTGCTTTAAAAGCTTTGTTCATTTTTATTGGAAAGCTAGATCTACACAGAGGAGAGACAGACAAAGACCTTCTGTCTGCTGATTCACTCCCCAAATGGCTGCAATGGCTGGTGCTGAACTGATATGAAGCCAAGAACCAGGAGCTTTTTCCAAATCTCCCACATGGTTGCAGCGTCCCAAGGCTTTGGGCCTTCTCTGATGCTTTTCCAGGCAGTAGGGAAACTGGGTTGGAAGCAGAGCAGCTGGGACATGAACTGGTGCTCACAGGGGATGCTGGAGCCTGCAGGCTGAGGATGAGCCAGTTGAGCCATTGTGCTGGCCCCTCACAGTCTTTCTTAAAGCATAAAGGCAATTTGTGCTTTCAACAAGTCAGGTAGCATGGGGATTCCACTGGCACCCGTGTACTCCACGGTCACTGGCACCTTGCTCACTACAGCCTCAGATGCTTGCACTTGGATCTGTGTGGCTCTGTGGGGACTGCTGCCAGAACCCACATGTGTGGCTGGGTCAGGGTGGCTGCTGCAGCCATTACGGCAGGAGCAGAAAGGAGCCCGGGACATGCAGAGCCGTTGGTCCCAGTCTAGCAACAAGCTCTGGGAAAGCCCAGAACTGAGGTCTGAGGGAGTCAGCCCAGAGGGAGGCAGACATGATGACTCAGCACTGGGTCAGGCTCTGCCTCTTGACAGCAACAGATGAGTCATCAACTCCTTGCCTTTAAGGTTCTGTGGCTGCTCATTACAGCAGACTGCGGGAAGCTGGTGAAGAACTCCCTGCTCTGTGGGCTGTGCCCCATCAGAAGGCCAGAGTTCAAATCCAATCTCTGCTTCTTGTTAGTGATGACCACTGGGGCCGGCACCATGGCACAGTGGGTAAAGCCGCAGCCTGTAGCATAGCCATCCCATGTGGATGCTGGTTCCACTTCTGAGCTGGCTCCCTGCTAAAGTACCTAGTGAAGCAGTGGGTAACGGCCCAGGTGCTTAGGCCCCTGCCACACATGTGGGAGATCAGTTTAAAATTTCTGGCTCCTGATTTCTGTGTGGCAGAAACCATGTGGAGAGTCAACCAATGGATGGAAGATCTCTTTCTCTCTCTGCTTCTCCTTGTAATTCTGCCTTTCAAATGAAGACATAAATTAAAAAAGAAGAAGAAGAAATATGCATTCCTCCCCTTGCAACTTGGGAAGAAGGGGCAGTGACCTTCCGTGAGTTGATGTCTCTTCCTGGTGCTTTGTTGACCCGGAATGCTACACTGGGACCCCTGTCTGTCTGGCTCTCTCATCTCTGCAGGGTTGTTGAGGTTCATTCCTGAGGAAGCCTGCATCTGTGCTTCAGTTCCTCCCCTGTGGCACATCGCATGCCCACGTCGCCTTCTCCAGCACGCACCTGTCCAAATGCATCTCTAAATGGCCAACTCATGATGCCGTGTCCCTCTCTCCCCAGCCCTGGCAGGTGGCTCTGGGAGCCATGGAAAGGCAGTGCAGCAAGGCAGGGAATCTGAGCAATTCATGAAGAGTAGGTGCATACGTGTGCAGATGACGGGAGGGAGAACGTGAAGCTTGGTTGGCTGCGGTGGAAGTCCTCTGAGCAGCCCCAGTGTGGAGTCAGGAGCCTGGGACATTTCTCCCAATGTTAGATTGGGACATTGGCTGGTTGAAGCTGGCTGTAGGGTCTTTAACTGGCCCCCTACTTTCCTGACAGGACTGTTGGGCAGACAACAGGAGCCATGCACAGTGGAGGAGGGGCGCACTGGGTGAACTGGAAGCTTGCAGGTGCAGGTGAGCTTGGGCGGGCGAAGAGGAGTGGGCTGGGCAGCTTCCACAGCCTCCAGGTCCCACTCCATGATGCCCAAGTGCTCAGTGCATGTCAGCCCACTGGTTTCTTGGGATGGTCCCATGAAATGTGCACTATGATGGTCCCTGTTTTACAGATGGAGAAACTAGGGCAAGCAACTGGTCCAGGAGCAGAGAGTCTCGGCAGGACTCGGACCTGAAGCCTGTATTCCTCACGACCCCATCCTGGGCATACCCATGGCGGTTTGCTCCCTCTCACACCTGCCCCGGATTCGGAGTGCCAGTTCTGGCTTGGCATGCTTCCTCCACAGAGAGTTCTCTGCCTGACATGGAGAAGCCAGATTCAGCAAACAGAAGCACAGGGTGCCCAGCCGGATTTGAATTTCAGATAAGCAACGACTAATCTCTGAGTCTGAGTGTGGCTTGGGGTTTTTCAAAAAGAGATGCAATATGATGCAAGTGATTCTAAGAAATAATCCGGTACTCATCTGGGATGCAGTGTGAAGGGTGTCTTGTGCCTTACCTGACACCCAGAGCCTCCCGCCTCCCTGTTCTTGTAGAGTGGAGCTGGCAGCTGATGGGAGGAGTCAGGACAAGCTGCCCCCTGCCTGCCCCAGCACCCTCTCTCCCACCTCCACTCGATTTGAAAGGAACAGATGCTCATAACAGCCAGGGTTGAGCTGGGCCAAA